TGGAACTCCTCAAACACCTTGGACCAAAGGCATCACAGTGGCTTACTTAGTTCTACATACGGGTCATTAATGAGAAGAAGTTACCACGCACTTGGCATGAAGCAAAGATTATTGCTATTCTTCAGCCAGGCAAGGACCCCTACAATGTGTCATATTACCACACCATATCCTTGCTGTCAGTGTGTTTCAAGGTGTTTGAGAGTCTGATCCAGAAACGAACCGCTCCAGATTTGGACGATGTCTTGCAGGTCAAGCAGACAGGGTTCAGGAAAGGATACAGCACCTATGATCAAGTCCTGGCCTTGACCACCTTTATCGAAAATGGTTTTCAACAAAATCTAAAGATGGCAGCAATCTTCTTGGATTTGATTGCCACCTATGACACAGTTTGGCACAGAGGGTTTTTGTTTAAACTTTCTCAAGTTGCCCTGTATTGTGTGGACAAAATAGTAGAGCTCTTCTCCAAAACAGGAGGTTTAGAATACACATCGGCAACTGCTGTAGCTCTTGGAAGTATCAGATCAACGGCCTTCCTCAAGGTTCAGTTCTTTCACTGAGACTGTTCAATGTGTACATCAACAACCTGCCAGCTACATTCTTGCGCAAGTTTATCTATGCCAATAACATCTACTGCAGCTAGCAAGCTCAATCCTCCTCAGAAATTCACAGTATCTTGAATGATGATACAAAACTCATGGCAGACTATCACAGTCAATGCTGACCACAGCCAAGCTTTTCCAAAACAGTTTCTAGTGTATTTTATCTGCATAATGCAAGAGCAACACACAAGTTAAACATTTTTCTCAATGGCCAATGCTTGCAGCATGATCCAAACCCAGTTTACCTCACTGTAATATTGGATAGGTCATTAACGTACCACAACCACTTGAGGAAGACTGCAGCCAAAGTCAACGCTTGGAACAACCTCCTCAGAAAAGTGGCTGGTACAACCTGGAGCACGAGCACTCGGATGCTTAGAACATCAGCCCTTGCCCTCTGCTGTTCAACAGCAGAGTATTGTGCTCCTGTCTGGTGTTGCTCATCTCACATGAGGCTGGTTGACATAGATCTTAACCCCGTATTGTTACCGGGACTTTATGGGCAACTCCATTGTCATGGCTACCGATACTTAATAACATAGCACCACCCCAAATTCGCTGTGAGAAGGCATCTGTCAGGCTGCTGGCCAAGATCCAAGAGAATAGCAGCCTGCCTTTGTACACGGACCTCTTCAACCACCCTCCAGCTCACCTGTCTTCTAGATGCCCTTTATGGTCATTTGTGCCACCACAGGACATGACGGTGGAATCTGCTTGGCACAAGAAGTCAGTGACAACAGTTGTTAATCAGTCTCTCACCACTGACCCAACCATCTGTCCACCAGGTTTTGATCTGCCAAGACATCTGAGGTCATCTCCAACCCAGTTTCAAATAGGAAAGGGCACCTGTTCGGGCCATCTCTTTAAATGGGGTTTTTCTAATAACCCGCAATACAGCTGCAGTCAACTTCAGACTATGTCACGTATCCTTGACGGGTACCCACTAACTTACTTCAACAACAGGTTACCAGCTCTCCACTTGGCTGATGATGACGCAATCAAACGGCTGGGCACATTGTGCACACACTGTTACATCACTTGATAAATTGCCCTGTTCAGTTCATTCCCTCTGAAGCACCTGGTACCGGTCACTGGTCTGACTCAGCATGGCCATTTTTATGTTTATATTCTTATGTTATGTTATTACAGTCCCACTATGTAGTGCTCCATTTTTGATCCAAGAAATGGAAGCACTCATGCTGGGACTTTTCATCTCCAATGGTTGCATTTCCACAGTAAAGATGTGAATGGCAACAAATTGCTCCCAGTTATAACAAATTAAGTGTGGTACTCACGCTCCTTGCAAGTTGCATATGTAGCTCTTGACAAGGTGTGGGTGAGGCTAGTGTATAAATCTCATAATTCACAACAAGCTTCTCAAAAATGTTTAAGTCACATAAACTCAAAACATTTAATGTCTCAGTGCCTTTCCATTCTACATGGTCTATGGGGATGAGAAATAAGAACAAAGAGACATGAGGTTTGTTAACAAAATAATGAGTTCCAACAATTTCATGCGAAAAATGTGGTTTAGGTAAGTACTCATCAGACTTTCATGCAAGAAGTGACGAATAAATCTGGCAATGGTCAGAATAAGTGCTTTCAGTAATTCTGTAAGGCCACCCTTAAACAATCTACCCTGTCAGGATTTAAATTTACAAATTCCATTTGAATCCTAAAATCTTTACTCTTGGTACAACAAGCCAGGCTAATATCTGTGCACAGTTGCTGTGATGGTAGAAAATACTTCCAAAAAAAGATTAGCCTCTCTTATTTTAATTTGTTGGCCATGAAGAAAAGATCAAACTCCTGCCTCTCCTTCTCTCCAAGCACAGTCAAACTCCTGTCTCTCCTGTACACTGCATAGTATTATTTAAAGGAAACAAGTACCAGTTCTCTTTAAAGAAATATCAGGAAATTTAAAAAACAAAAAACAAAAAAACAAGCATCTAGCTACATTACCACTAAGAGAAAGTGCTGTCACATCTCTACCTATTGTGTTTGACCCCTCAATACTAACCAGCCAGTCAACAAAGAGCATTAAAAAAATACATAGTAGAAGTATTATTTCAGGAACTCTGTACTATCATCAAACTATAACACTGTGAGTGCTTCAGCTCCCAACACAATAGATGGATTCCTACTTTGAAATCCCCTTCTCAAGCCCTGCATTATGGACACATATTTTGATTCTTTGTCCGATTCAAGCCAACCAGCCTATTCACAGAGTTCAAGGGCTTTAAAATGGCAACAATCCAGTTCAGGGAGAGAACAAGAGAAAAATGCAGATTTATTTCTATATTTTATTATTTTGTTAAATCAATTTAAAGTTATAAATTACATAACAAAACAGGAACCTTCATTTTATCCTATTCAAAATATATGAGTTATGTAGATTAAAACTGGTCCCTGGGATTTACTGTGTCTTTTATACATTTTAAAAAAGACATTTTAGGATAGATATACAAAAGCTATTGAACAGACACGGTCAAGCTGTTTGAACAAAGTAACTCTTTCCTGAGTCATATTGACACTGCTCTTTATCCCATCCAAAAAACCGAGACTGTGTATTGTGCTACAATAACTGTTCTACTATATTGTTTAACTACTTCATGTTGATTTTCATAATAAAACTAGGAATGAGAAAAGCATAAAATGCCAAAACACTTCTAAGGTTTAATAAAAGGGGGTTATTTTACTATGGGTACAACCTTTAATTATGTAATTTAAAATAAATTCAAGTACCAATTACATCTCTCTCTCCAATTCCACTCAGGATTTAAAACCACCAGAATGTTAAAATAAGACACTTTCATTCACATCTGATTTGCTTATGTGTGATTTTTTAAGCTTTTTTAAAAACAAAAACTGAAAGCCTATTGGGATTTTTAATACAAGATCCTGTTTGTATTTGTTTTCACCCAACTCTCAAGCATAAAAAAATAAACTCAACACCTTTTTCATTTACACACTAAGATAATTATTATTTCTGCAACATTACAAAGCATTTCAAAATGTGTTTCCTTAAAGATCCACACTAATAATACTTTTTAAAACCTCATCCCCTTCCCTGTTTTTGACAGGGAAATTTGAGAGAAGGGAGAACGGGTTTCTTTTGCAATGGACTAAGGCCAGTGGGGGTCTGACTCATGCCTGCTACATCTGCTCCCATCCATGCACCACTCCCTGCCCGGCCCCTTCAGCTTTTCTTTGATTCTTTGATGACACCCCCCCTTCACAAATCGCTACATTCACTCCCGCATCCCCATTACTTTGCAAGAGCCCCTAGGATGGGATCCCGGGGGGAGGAGATACACACTCTGAGGCAGCATGAAGGGGAGTGAGGGAGAGATCGACCGCACGGGACGGTCTCGGCAACTGGGACAACAACGGTACCTAACTAGGACCAAGGGCAGCAGGGGGCGATGGGAGGGTGAGCTGAAAGAGGCGAGGAAGACAACACAAGTGGGGCTTGGGGCAGGAGGGGGAAAGAGAATGAAAGAGGGGCCAGGGAGCAAGAGCAGGGAGGACATGGGCCCGGGGGCGGGGGGCTCAGCCGCAGAGCGGCGGGGTAGAGGCGGGCCCGGTGGGTACCGGGGCTCGGCCTCAGAGCGGGGAGGGCCCAGAGACGGACCGGAAGAGAGCGGGGAGGGCTGGGGGTACAGATCGGGGGAAGGGACGGGCTCGGCCGCAGAGCGGAGAAGGCCGGGGTACGGGGGGGGTCCTCGGCCGCAGAGCGGGGGGGGCCGGGGTATGGGGGGGTCCTCGGCCGCAGAGCGGGGGGGGGCCGGGGTACGGATCGAAAGACGGGGGGCTCGGAAGAGAGCGGGGAGGGCCGGGGGTACGGATCGGGGGGGTCTCGGCAGCAGAGCGGGGGGGCCGGGGTACGGGGGTGGGGTCTCGGCCGCAGAGCGGGGAGGGTATGGATCGGGGGCCGGGGGGGCTAGGAAGAGAGCGGGGAGGGCCGGGGGTACGGATCGGGGGACGGGGGGGGGGCTCGGCAGCAGAGCGGGGAGGGCGAGGGAACGGGAGGGACTCGGCCGCAGAGCGAGGGGGGGGACGGGAGGGGCTCGGCCGCAGAGCTGGGGGGGGACGGATCGGGGGACGGGGGGGCTCGGAAGAGAGCGGGGAGGGACGGGGGGACGGGAGGGGCTCGGCCGCAGAGCGGGGAGGACGCGGGCCGGGGCTCGGCCGCACAATGGAGCCCTGTGTGTCTATCTGCCGCTCTCCCCCTCACACGCCGCCTTCGCGTGACTCGCAGGAGCGAAATGGCTTGTGGGTGAAGCCGGCTCCCTGCCCCCGCCCCGGGCCGCCCGGCGGGCTCCGGCCCCGTGCGGGGGTGAGCAGCGGCACGGCTGGCACGGCCGGGGGAGGGGCCGGAGCCCGGCGCGGCCCGCTCACCATTTGCGCACTTTCTCGATGGCCGCCATCACCCGCTTGATGTCATCCTTGGCCCGGCTGCGGGTCTCGGCCCGCACCGACCGGCCCGACATGCTGCTGGGGACGGGGCGGCGGCGGCTGCGGAGAATGCGGAGCTCGGCCCGGCCCGGCTGGCTGCGCCGCACGCACAATGCTCCGTCCTGCCGCTCGGCTCCGCCCAGACTCAGCCGCCCGCCGCCGGGGCTCGCGCACTGCGCAAGCGCCCAGAGCCGCCGCCGCCGCCGCCGGCTGCCGCACGCGGCAGGCCGGGCTCGTGGGGCGCGGGAGGGGCTGGCGCGCGGGCGGGGGCCCCCCAGGAGTCAGCGCCGCGGCCATGCGCGCGGGAAAGGGGCTGCCAGGAGCTTCAGGGCGCGAGGGGACCAGGCCTTAGTCCTGTTGCTGGCCCGAGGAGGGGGATGTGACACCCAGTGGCTAGAGCAGGGCGCGGGGAGCCAGGACTCCTGGGTCCTATTCCCAGCTCTGGGTTGAAGTGTGGGGGTCTAATCATTAGAAGAGATGGGATTGGGTTGTGTTGCTAATTGTGCCTGGACTCACTGTGGGACCTTCCCTTGGGCAAGTCACTTAACACCTCAGCGCTTCAGTACCCCTCCTTCCCGCCAAGGGGGATAGCAATTCTGATCTACCATAGAGGGGCGTTGGGAAGCTTAATGAATTAATGTTTATAAAGAGTTTTGACAGTCTCAGATGGAGAGCTGCAAAATACTGTGGCTTGACTTCTCTTCCCTCTGTGGGCAGCAAAGTTGCGGAAATAAATTGCAGGACTGTGAAGGCTACTTTTAGGAATTATTATTTGTTTATATAGTGCTGTAAATACTTTTGTAATATAAATATGCAAATATGTGCCCAAAAGACACAACCCCAGCCTTAGAAAGCTTGATGATAATAAGCAGCTCTAGAAACAATTGATTCTCAAAACGATTCTGAGAAGTTTAAAATATTTTACAGGTAGGGAAAGTGAGGCAGGGGGGTAATTTTCTAAATGAGGGTGTTAATGTCAGAGCTGGGATTAGAAATAAGACTGCCAGCCTCTGCGCACTGAATCACTCCTCTCTGAAAAGCTAAAGAACCATCCTGTGATGTATTATTGTATGTATGTCTGAGCCTTATTGTCCGTGTCCAAATTAGATTGTAAGCCCCAAGGGCAGGGATCACATCTTTGTATAAGCAGGTATTTGTGTAGCGCAGAGTACACAGAGGGTGCTCAATCAGTAATAATATTAGATCCATTTGTTCCTAAACTTTGTGATTATTACACTAAATACTTATCTTTGAGAATCCTATAGTGCATCCTCTTATGGATGATAGACTATTTGAGTGACTAGTTTCTGATTTAGCCCTTGTGCAAACAGTTATGACACTATGTTGCAGACTTGCGGTTTGTTGTTTAGCTATATTTCTTTTTCAACAACTTATGTGATTTATAAAACAATAGGAAAAGGATATTTAACAGTCCAGTTCATTGGGCATTACATACAAATGTTTGTGTAATACAAAAAGATAGAGTGAGCCAGATCTTCAGCTGTGTAAGTCAATGTATCTCTAATAACTGCAGTGGAGTTCTGATGATTTATGGTATCTGAGGATCTGACCCAACACATGTACATGTGTGTGTACATATATGCAAAAAAAAACTGGTTGGAGAGCAGGTCATATGAAGCAACACCTCCTCAGGAAATCTTTGTCACACACCCTGTAATACTTTGATTTGTGTTGTTTGACCTTTATCTCTTCACTGCCATGCAACTAGCTATACATCTTGCTATATGTACTAACACAACTATAATTATTTCTTTGATGCATAATAGTAATCTCCATGCAATAAACATCACCACTGAGTGGAACACTTTTTAAGGGGCTACATGATTATGCAAAGACCCATCAATGCTGAGGGGCACTGTAAAGAAGGAAATGAGTTCAACAACTCACTGATCTTTCTGCAGCAATTTGCATTGGTACCATTACGCTGTTTATACAAACACTGAGTAAGACACTCTCCCACTGGTATTACACTACTAATTGGAACTAACACTCCCAAAAAGAAATACAAAGTTGTTAGGAGTAAAATGGAAGCCCATTTTTAATCCATCACAAAACAGAATGCTCCTTTCACTAAGATTCATTACTGTGGTATATTCAGATATAGCACTTAATTTTAATTGCTATTTTACTGTAAAATTTTTGTGAATAAACTTTTCCTGTAATATGCTGAAACTGGACTGTATTAGTGCAGCTTTGCATTACACCATTAGTGTAAACCTGCCCTAAAGCTAATGTTACCAGTCACAGGAGGATTCCTCCCAGGACAGGGGAGTATGAGCTACTGTACCATCTCATATTTCACTCTTCTTCCTGCAGCCTTATGCCATGGTGATCCCTGATTGTCCTAATGGCCCACTGGACCATTAGATGGATGGATGAAGAGCAAAACCGTAATGTTGCACTCTGAAGAGACCTCTTCAGGAAAGCATTTGTGATTGATACCATGATGTCAATTTTAGCAGCAAGTTTACTTAACCCAATCCTGTGTTTGGTGTGTTCATTTTGGAGGTCATTGATTGGCAACACATGGTGTTCCTAGGGACAGAGTAAGCTGCTTCCTCTTGATCTCCAAACTCAGAACTCCCCCACGGTAGCACTGCTGCGTGATTACTGGCCCAGACTTTGTGAAGTGTTTTAATCCCATAGCTTTATGACACGCCCTAAATTGATGAAACATCGTAGAGTTTGAGGAATGTTTAGTTCACTTTATTTTATAATAAATACAAAAATATAGTTTCCCAGGTGTTTGAGGAGAAAAAATGATTACAGAAAATGCATTTCTGGGTAAAAAAACTACAAACTCTGTGGCAACTATGACTCTGCTGACTCTATGCTACTTGTGAGTTCATAATTTTTTTCTGTCTCAGTTTCATCTGATTCAGGAGTAGGTAAGCCAAGAATATCAGCAGTAAATATCTCTGCTGTGATTTCCTCTGGAATTTCTTCTTCCATTAAAGCTGCTGCACCTGGAGGGGAACAAAAAACAACAACCCCAAAAGCAATCAGGTTTCCAGATCAATAGGACTTGTCAGCAGCAGTGTGTTGTATGGAATGTCTACAAAAATACATGAAAGGGGCCTTATATAGTATCAGTTTAATACTTAATAGGTCCCCTGTCACGAAACAAAGGCATTGATCCTGCGAGGTGCAGCACACCTTCAACTCCCACTGAGAACTAGATTTAAACTAAATGATCTATAGCACTATATTTGTCCATTCCATCTCTGACTCCTCTAATCCTGCATGGCTTTTTTTCCTGTTACTTATCCATGATTTTCTTGAAGATGGTTACAAAGCCATCTTGAACATGCTGTATTTTGAATACTGTTATTCAGATATCTGCAGACTCCACTCAGTTGCTTTAATAACAATATCCATTTTCCGTTTCAAGTAATTTAGGCATAAAAGAACATATTTAGGCCCAGATCCTTATAAAAAATGACTTGAGATCTTTAACATCTATGCAGAATGGACTGGTGCTTGGTTAGTAAGATCTCATCTGTAAGACCTACATGCAATAAACTGCACAGAACTCACTGAACTTCGGAAGAACAAAGGGCTGTCTCTATCCTGCTGTGATTTGATTTGAATCTAGGGTTCCAAGCAATCCAGGTATTTCAAACCTGGGGTTTGTTCCCTCCAGGAGATGCACCTTAAGTAGGCATATATCAGTTGTGGAAAATCCCAACTGGATGTTATTGTAGACCTTTAGGGATTGGGACACTCATTTCAGAAACTGCATGAATATGTCAGAAGTCAGGGGTTCCAATTACAATGGACAACTCTGCAAGGAACTGAAAATAATTTGTATATGATAGGATTCCGCTTTGCCCGTGGATCACAACAGTGGTGAGGCCTCCAGCAAATATCTCCAGTTTCCATTCCTAGACAGCAGATAAACAGTAACGTAATGTAGTCAAGGACACTTATATTTCACTGGCCATTTAAATATATATGAGTTTCAGTCTGCAGTAGAACTTTTCCCCAGCATCAGTGGAAGCTAAGTGCATGGACCAAGGATAGATAGTATTTGGCCCTGTGACTATATTTTGCAATCCCAGCTGAACATTTTTAACAGCTATTGGAGTAACAAGGTTAATAGGATTTTCAGTTTAATTCTTATATTAAAGGAATTGAAGCAATCTTATTTCTGTGTTTCATAGAATATTAATCCTGTACCTGAGTGATCATAGATGCCCAGCTCAGATCTCCCACCCTCTGGATTCATGCCCAACAGGGTGGTGAGACACTCTGCCAGCTCCTCCTCTGTCATATGCTCCCCTACACACATAAAGCAAAAACACAATCTCTAAGCTTTCTCACAGCATCATTAACACAAACTCAGCACAAACATATCTAGCAAGAATGGCATAAGGACAAAATAGGATGGTTTGGGTTCCTCCAAGGTGTAGCCAGTACCACCATTCAAAATGCATGATCACAGTGCAAGAAATTTGACCCAAGAGAAATTTGTTTTTGTGAACAATATGAGTTTTTGGCATACAAATTAGGTTTCTGGGAGGGGGAAAGGCTACTGGAGCTGGCTTGTTGAGCTGAGCTGCACCTACAGCAGTTTTCACTCTATTCCTTTTCACAGGAATTTCCAGATCAGATCAGGGGTGTATTGGCAGTGGCCAGCACCACAGCGATTCAGAGGAAGGTGCAAGAAAACATATGGTCAACTATTACAGAATAGCCTGCACATAGGAGTTTATTCCTAACCTGCATCAGTCAGTGGCTTATGCCCTGAAGCATGAGGATTTGTATCCCTTTTTAAAATGTTTTATCCTATGTCATGTATCTGTGGATGTTCTCATCATCCATATAAGTGTCTAATCCTTTTTAACCTCCTGGTAAGCCCTTTACCTCAATGATACCATGTGGCAATGAGTTCTACAGGTTGATAATGTGTGGGTTAAAACAGTATTTCCTCTTATCCATTTGCTGTTTTTCAGCTGAATTGGGTGCGGTCTTGTTCTTATAATAACAGAGAGAATATAGAAGTACCTAATTTACCTTCTCTGTGCCAATGCCATTAATTTTGAATATCTTTATCC